GAGTTAATCAAACGCCTCTGGAACGTATTCCAAAATTTGTGCGTCTATCTTGGCATTGCCCGTCCTCCCGTCGCGCCCGAATGCTTGCAAATCCGCGCGGAGGCGGCGGATTTCCAAATCGAAACTACGCCGACGGCCAGATGAATACCCTAGGAAACCTCCTTGACGGGCACGATGTATGCTCCACGCTAACAATATAGCGTAGCATCCAGGAGTGCTAGGCTTCGCCTCCCCGTACTCCGCCACGGTCACTGTAGATATTTGACATGCAGCAGCCTCTCCCTCCTCATCTGCCCCCCTGGCCCCCCCCCTGCCCCTGCTTCGCCGCTGGGGGGTCGCGATGGTGAAAAAAACGCCGTTGCGACAGAATCTGGCTCTCTTGCGCACCTCCTCACATCGTGCATAGCATAGGCGTAGCAACGTCCGCGGCGGCACCCGCGTTTCAAGTCGGTTCCCGCCGCATCCGTTTCAGCAGAGCGCAGCATAGCGCAGCAACGCGCGCGGCGGCATCTGCTTTTTCGCAACAAAGAGCCGCGTGGGACATGCCCCTCTGCCTTCCACTGTGCCTGCCTGTCCCTGCCTGCCCCTGCCTGTCCCCGTCCGCCTCCGCCTCTTCCAATGAATGCCCCGCCCAAAATGCAGAGCGAAATCCTGTTTTGGATTTGTAGCCCCGCGCCAACAAGTACGGGTCGCCCTCTGGGTAGTCCTCCCATTTGCACCAACGCGGCAACGCCGTTATCTTTGCATCTGGCCAAGCAGGGTCGTCGCGCAAGGAAAAGTAATCAGTTTTCCATATGGTGTACGAATCCCTGGGCGCTCTCGCAATTGCTTCCTCCACAGGTTCCGCTGGTGGAAGGTCGCCCTCCTCGCCCCCTCCGCCCGCCGAGATGGCGCCGTCGTCCGTGACCTCCTCGTCGGCGGAGCTCACGAGGGACTCGACGCTATCATTGTCAGACTCTGCGGCGCTCTCATCGCCCTCCGGTGCAGTCACGCCCATAATGTCCACCCCGGTGTCCATGGCGGGGCCTTCGGGCATGAGCGGCGGACCGCCACCTTCGACCTTGTCCCATCGGGCAATTCGCAGAGCCACAAAGCCGGCGTCGAACGCGACGCACTCCATCTCAAGTTCGTACACTGCTGTGGCATCATCGACGGGGATGCCAACGCGAAGGCAGTGCTCGGACAGGCGGACGAACTGTTTCGAGAACGAGCTGGTGAGTCGCAAGGTTCGCGCCGTGTCATGGCCGCCGAGAGGGAGGACCCAACTCGCTGTCCCAAGAGCGAAATGGAAGAAGACGTCCCGATCGTCCCCGCTGCGGAGACAAAAAAAACCTGGCGGCCGGGACCAGAGGCGATCTTGCCAGGGGATGGCATCGGCACGTCGGGCAGGTTGCAAACGCGTGACACATGGGAACTCCTGATCAGGAACCAGCCGCCGGGTCAAGGAGCGGCGCACCGAGGAGGCCGTGTCGAAGTAGTCGTTGAAAGTTGTTCTGTTCTGGGAAATCCATTGCAACCACTCGGCATTGGTCCTGGGTGTCGACGCTGCCACCGGTTCTTTGGCTTTCCGCGCCGCTTCTGCGGCGGCGTCAAGCTCCCGTTGCAGGTCCACGCGATGTTCTTCAATATAAGAAGCAATGGCATCCTCGTCGAATGTCAACACAGGCCGAGCGACCCGCTCCCCCGCCGTGACGAAATCTGGGCGACGGCGCAAAACCAACGCACGAATGTGCAAGTGAACGCCACGTTGTGCTTTTGCCCGTTGCGTGTCCACGACCCGCCTCGCGTTGCGAGTTGTACGATAACGCCTCAAAATACTGTTTCTACTGGCCGCCGCGACCGTGCTCATCTTGGGTGCCTCTGTTTTCTTGTCTGGTACGTGTTTCCGCTCTACCGACAGGGTCGTCGCACACCCATTCCTGAGACAGTTGTCAACGTGGGCTTGCACGCCAGGCGACATCAGGTAGTCCGCGGCACGCCTGCTGGACCCAGCGGCGTCGGCTTTTTGACGGAGCGGCAAAGAGAAACCGACATCTAGGCGCTCCTCGTCGACGGAAAGGAACGCTAAACATTCTCGAGACCACTGGGACGGGTTGAACGACTGGGACAGCTTGTACAGCGCAGTCGGGTACTCCTGATACACAGACAAACGGGCGACCAGATTGCCCATCGTGGCAAGCATCGAAGTCAAAGCCCTGAGCTGCGGCAACACAGGATCGAAAGGTATGTGAGGAACAATGTTCACCAACGTCCGCCCAGCCTGCTCCTGGAGGCGCCCGCTGCCAAGTTCTACGAGCAACGGGTCGCCTGTCGACGTCTTGGCCGCCATGCTCATGGCGTGATTGGTCACTTGCAGACACAAAGCAGCGATGCGCAGGTCTACTGGTGTGGTTGGCGCTTTCCAGAAAGGACTGAACTGCGTCAATCCTCTTCTGCTGCGCCTGCATCGGTCTGGTGGCGGAGAGCGACCACACATCAACTGGAATTTTGAATAAAGCACACAACAGCATGGACCGCACGCACGCAGTGAACGTGAAGAAACGGCTTGTTGTCGGATGTTCTTCGACGAGCAAGATCCGCTTCTGCAGCTGGAGGAAAACTTCACGCCGTAACGTTGGAAGGTCCACGCCATCTGGCGCCGAAGAGCTATGAGCCACCAGCCCGATTCGCACGTTGAGTAACAACACCAACTGATCAGGGACCACATCAGGACCGTATAGCGACATTAGGTGCCGCACATGTGCGCAGTGCCCCATTGTAGCGGCGGGATCCTCTGGGACGACACGCAGATTGCCAACCACGAATTTCAGAAGATTGGAGGAGAACTCTTCGTAGTATGAGTTGTGGATGTACTTGTACATCCGCACAACTGCGCCGCAAATAGCGTCACCGTTGACAGGATCCTTGAGGGCGCGTTGGCAGATGGCGTATTGTATCGCAAGGTTGATTTGGTGAGCGCAACACACCCAAAGCAACATGCTGTACTCCACGCCGCGTTCAAGGCACATTTTCCTCAGGAGGGGGAATGAATTGCGAATGTCCGGCCCGTGGCCCCCTCCCGTCCCCCTGCGAGTTCGATGGGTCCGCCCCCAAGGATTGTGGAAGAAAGTCACGGGGCGCTTCTGGAAACCAATCAGCAAAAACACGATGCGATTGCCGAGACAAAGACCCAAACATGAAGATCGGTTGCCACTTCTCCCCCCGCCCCTTCGGGCGGCCGAACGAAACCGTAGCACGAATTCGAAGACCGAGCTAAAGATTACCCTCGGAAACCCACAAATCATTATACTGGAGGGGATGGGGATTTATTGACCCCTCCCCGGCTGTTCCCGAATAGCCGTTTGCATGCGGCGAGGTTGGTCGGCACGGCGTCGCCCGTAAGTCCAACCTGCCACGTGGGCTGGAAGTGGTCTAAGGCGTTCATGCTGCAGTCCCCCCTCTTCCCCTCACGGGGGGGTTGGAGTCCCGAAGTGCACCAAGATATTCTGCAGATCGCGGACTTGTTCTCATGAGCGGTGGAGGTCAGGAGGACGTGCACGAGGAAGGGGGGCAGGAGAAAGGAAAACTTGTGTTCCGAAGCAGTGGCGACACATGCATTAACAAATCCTCTGGCCTAGGCCATACAGTCTTGGTGCACTTCGGCCCCCTAAATGCAAAAAATAATGAAACGGACATGGAGGAATGATAATTCAGCCCCATTGGCGGGCTGCTACGCCAGAAAGGGCCTCGGATTAAGCCGGATTAGGCGGGATTGAATGGAATCAAGCGGGATTAAGCAGGATTCAACGGGATTGAGCTGGCTTCAGCCGTCCCCTTTCTGGGCGCCGTGCACGCCAGGGGAACGGGGCTTCAACCCGACTCCCCACGGGGCCGAAGGCTGGCCACCGCGGGCCGGGCTGGCCAGTAGGCGCCTCGCCAGCAGGAGGCGTGCAGACAGAGCAGCCGTCGCAGGAGGAAGAGGGGGAGGGGGAGGGGGAGGGGGAGGACGAGGAGGAAAGAGGAGGAGGAGGAAGGAGGAGGAGGAGGAGGAGGAGGAGAGGGGGAGGAGGAGCAGGAGGAGCAGGAGGAGGAGGAGGAGGAGGAAGAGGAGGAGGGAGGAGGAGTGGGAGGATGAGGAGAGGAGAGGGAGAAGGCGGAGGAGGATGAGGAGGGGGAGGAGGAGGAGGAGGAGGAGGAGGAGGAGGAGGAGGGAGGAGGAGGAGGAGGAGGAGGAGGAGGAGGAGGGGGAGGAGGCGGAGCAGCACGAAGAGGAGGAGAGGAAAAGGAGGAGGAGGAGGAGGAGGGAGGAGGAGGACGACGAGGACGAGGGGAAGGAGGAGGAGGAGCAAGAGCAGCAGGAGCAGGAGGAAGAGGAGGAGGAGAAGGAGGAGGAGGAGGAGGAGGAGGAGGAGGAGGAGGGGAAGGACGACGAGGATTTTTCGCGGAGTTCTCGAAGGTCAACGACCAAGGAGGAGGAGGAGGAGGAGGAGGAGGAGGAGGAGGAGGAGGAGGACGACGACGACGACGAGGACGAGGAGGAGGAGGAGGAGGACAGGACAGGACATCCGCATTAAAGGGTCCAACGTCAAACACCTACGCTGGTGCCTTGCGCGCTGCTGGCAAAATCTCCTGCGATTGGTTGTGCAACGGCCCTGGCTTCTCACTAGGGCCAGAAGGGGCACGCCCCGTTGCTCAAGGAGTGAACTTTGAGGTGGACACGCATGAGCGGCTCGCTACCCTACGATTGCGAATCCCTGGAGGAGGAGGAGGAGGAGGAGGAGGAGGAGGAGGAGGAGGATGTTCCCAGCATCTCTCCCCGATGGCGTGATCAGGGGAAGTCGCCTGCGCGTCGCTGCTGGACGCGTCGGTGTCGATGCGCGAAGCGTTAATGATAAATGCGCCAAGCGCACGACGACATCTGGCCCGACGCCTTCCCGAACAGTCCTCAATATGTCATCCACGACCAACCTGAGGATGGCGCCAGAATACGACGCCCGAAACTGGGCGCCCAACAATAAGCAAAACGCAAAACAACGCACGCAATGCAAAAACATGTGTTTCATGTCGCCTGGGGTGGCGGCGCTGGATATGGAAGTTTTGAAAGCGGAATCTGCTGTCTGACGACCAGGGGGCTGCTTGCCACAAGCCGCCCACGCCGGCCACACGCAGGAAAAAATGCGCCATGGTCGCCCCCCCCAACAAAAACGTTCCTAATCCAGCGCCGCCGCCACGCCACTGAAGCACCAGAGGGCATAGGCGATGCTGGCTGCGTCCTTCCGCTGCAGCGGCTGCAGCTCTACGTAGAATTCCTGCGTGCGTCCTCCGATTGTTACCGATACGCAATTGTTCTGAATTTTTGCAGCGCGTCCGCGAGCAAGGCGTCGGCCAATCGGGATCGCAGCCACTCCGTCTGGGACTGCCGTGCTGTAGGACTTCAACCTTGGGGACACAAGGGTGCGCCGAGGGGGCGCCGTTGCGTCGCGCCCGTAGCCCCCCTGTGTTTTCGGGGGTGGGCAATTCGATAGGCATGTGGTTTGGGGGAGGTTGGGCGCGCCCTCGGCAGACCTCATGGCCGCCTCGTCGTGCGTGTGGGTTATGTAGACCACGCATTCAGGATCTGCACGCGCAGCGCGCGCTAATTCATCCCTCGCCGGCTCGGGATTGCATCGCCAGCGAAGCCCAGGACTCGCGCGCCGCTTGTTCCCTATATCACAATTCTACAAAGCTCGCTTTATGAATGCTGCCGTGCTATATCAAAAACGCACAGTTTGCGACCTGGCAACCCCATGGATAGATGAGAAGAACAAGTGGAGCGCGAGGCCAAACACACGCATCATCCTGGTTTTGACGAGTCCCGTAGGTCCTGTTGAACTGTTTAATGAGCTGGGCGAAACAATCCCGAGCGCGACGCACCGACGATACACCCAACGCATGTGTTTCGACTTGTTGGAAATCCGCCCGCCCTTCCACAGAGCGTTCACCGAGGCCTCGGTCGGTAAATCCATTTGTGCGCTTTTAAAAAACATGGCCAACAACTTTTCCTTCCCCAGGAGGCGCCCAGAGAATCGCGCAAATGTTCAGTGGGAGCCGAAAACTACGCGGCACGTGTCAGGCGGGCAAGTCGCCAGATGACCAGATCGGAACAAAAACTGGCGACGTCCCTGAGTGGCATGTTCGGTGGAGACAGCCCAGCTCGGAGAAGCCACATCTCCCGAAGGCGTCCCGCAAGACGAGAACCGCTCAGTTCAACATCGAGTTTCTCCTGAAGGTTCGCCCGTTGTTTGATCTGATATGCCAGCTTCATTTGCAGTCGGTGGCGAGCCGCTGGCGTGAAGAGATCATCGCGGCGGCCGCCCACGTTCCTGGGAAGAATCCACAAAGTCTGGGCACCCGACTTCCCCCCATTTGAATACAGGAGGGAAGCCTGCGCAGAAACGCGCTTACGCACCACAGCCGTGCCTTGCCAAAACCACCAAGGCCCAATAGCCAGGACAGTCTGACACTGGCGGCGGTGCACAGGCGCCTCCTGCAAAGCAGGACAAGGGAAAACTAGGAAAGACATTTGACAGGCTCGATTCCGTGCTTCTGCTGCGCCCTCATCGGCGATGGCGGCATGCAAAGCAAGCGCACTCGCCCGCGTCCGAGGCCATTGCTCGGCGTCCGGGGACGCGAGAAACTCACGGACAGCAGAGTACAGCTTCAACCGCGAGGCCGCCATCCCTTCTGCGATCGAAGAAAGGTTGATTCACACCGCGACCAACAATGAAACAACACCGCTGGGGCACAGAGCCAAATCTCGAATGAAGAGGCGACATAAGCCGACGACCACGACGACAATGAGGACAACGACGGCGGAGTAGCAAAAACATGAATTACAAGCGTGTGGTTGGATAGCACGTTCAGTCCTGGAAAACCGAATAGCGCTAACCAAAGCTCTTAGGGAGGCCCGCCGCGGGCTGACGAAGCCACTCCTGTATCGTCCCCCCGTACCCCATATCCATCCTCCCTCTCTCCCCTGTCGTCCTTCTCCACATGTTCCCCCTCCCCCCCCCGTCTTCCTCCTCTTCCTCATGCTCTTCGTCCTCTTCCTCCGCCTCATCTTCCTCCTCCTCCTCCTCCTCCTCCTCCTCCTCCTCCTCCTCCTCCTCCTCCTCCTCCTCCTCTTCGTCCTCCCTCATCCGCTCATCCTCCTCCCCCTCCGCCTCCCTCTCCCCATCCTTTTCCTCCTCCTCCTCCTCCTCCTCCTCCTCCTCCTCATCATCCTCATCCTCATCCTCATCCTCATCCTCATCCTCATCCTCATCCTCATCCTCATCCTCATCCTCATCCTCATCCTCATCTCATCCATCATCATCATCATCATCATCATCATCATCATCATCGTCCTCTTCCTCCTCCTGCTCTTCCTCCTCCTTCTCCTCCTCTTCCTCGGCCTCCGCAAGAACTCGGCCATGTAGCGGCGCGAGAGAACTGGGGCATGGAACAGGCCGCAGGATCAGGATAATGTAACAACTAAACAGAATCCCCCTCCTCATCCTTCCCCTCCTCCTCCTCCTCCTCCTCCTCCTCCTCCTCCTCCTCTTGCCCTTCCTCCTCCCCATCTTCCACATCATCCTACGCTTACCCCACTCCCCGTCTTCTGCGCTGCTTCTCGCATGACTCTGGGGAGGGAAGTGTTTCGACACCGCTCTCGAGGATCGCGGCCTCCGCTGGGAGAGCCGCAATCGACTACCCCAGCCCCCTCCTGCTCCACGAAGCCCCCAAGAGCTCACCAAGAGGCCTCAGAGGCCCCCAAGACGCCGTCAAGGACTCCCAAGAGGCCCCCCAGAGGCCCCAAAGACCGCTCGAGGGCCAGCTGAATGAGCGAAGCAAAAAACTAAGTAAGCATCATCCCCCTCCTCCACCTCTCTCTTCTTCTCCTCCTTCTCCTCCTCCTCCTCCTCCTCCGTTTCCTCCTCCCTCCTCCTCCTCCTCCTCCTCCTCCTCCTCCTCCTCCTCCTCCTCCTCCTCCTCCTCCTCCTCCTCCTCCTCCTCCTCCCTCCCTCTCCTCCGTCTCATCCTCCGCCTCCTCATCATCCTCCCCCCCCAGGCCTCCTCCTCTCCATCCTGTTCCTCCTGCTCCTGCTCCTCTTGCTCCTGTTCCTTTTCCTCGCCCTCCTCCTTCTCCTCCTCCTCTTGTCCCTCCCCAGGGGTCTCACACATCCCAGCGCCCTGCAACTGCTGGCCCCATTTTCGGGGTGAGGGAAGGAAGGACGGGGACGGCACGGAGCGGGGGAAGAGAGGAGGAGGAGGAGGAGGAGGAGGAAGAGGAGGAGGAGGAGGAGGTGGAGGAGGACAAGGAGGAGGAGGAGAAGGAGGATGAGGAAGAGGAGAAGGAGGCGGATGGGGGAGAATGACGACTTGAGGTGTATGGCTTGGGGGCGCCTGCACCCCGTTAGTGGGCCCATTTGCCTGGGACTGCATCTTTTACGGCACGGTGGCCAGCAGGGGAAGGAGGTGGAGGAGGACGACGAACTCGCACTGATTTGCGGGGCGCCCAAGCGAGCCAAGCTGCACATGCAAACGCGATCCCGCCCACGCTGTAGCCTGACAGGCGAAGGCGCGCACAGACAAATGCATAGGCGAATCGAGGCCACCACTGCACAGACAGCAACAGCGAAAGGCGCAGAACACCCTGCACATGTAGAGGCGAAACCGCACGACGTACAGCGACAGGCGGCGTCAGCAACGTAGCTGTCCAACAGGGGGCGCGGGGCGCAAGAGGAACACGACCCTCCGCGCCCCGACGAAAACGGGCAGGGTAAAGTCTCCAATGCGCCCCGCGACAACACTAGGAAGCACGAGCCCCTTCCACGCACCAGGGCCGCCAGGCGGCCCCCACCGACGTTGTGGCAGGACGGGGGGCCACAAGATAGCGGGCCAGGCGACACGGGCGAAGCCTGAGCCAGTAGACGCAGGCGCGCCACGTTGCCACCGGACTAGCTCACGGCTTATATTTTGGATCGAGGTGAGTTGGTTTTGCCGCGTCGGGGCATTGGGAGACAACCCAATGCATTCGGCGCGAAGCTTCGTCGCCAAGTCGGCAGGCCTGGTTGCCCTGACCTGCGGGCCACGCGACAGATGCTCCTCGAAACGATTTCGAAGCAGCAGTGCCGCGTTGGTGCCACGCCGAGCCCCTCCCGACAAAGTGAAGAGAACATCTGAGCCAGAAAGCGGTAACTTTTGCGAGCCACTCAATCAACGCGAACGGATTTCAGACGCACAGAAAAAACAGAATAGCACATAATCCAGTAACAGATTTGCGTTGATGATGAAAATAACTCTCTAGCTTGGCACGCACAAGAAATGGGAATGCGAAGGGGGTGTCCTTCCCAAGTGACTCAGAAGGCGAGGGGGCTTCGGAGAAACCGTGTAGCAGTCTCCGAATCCACAGAACGCTTTTCAAAAGGCCGAAAGGCTTCGAAGAAGCTCCGCCGCCTTCTGAGACGGCCTGCCCCCTCTCACTTCCCCCCTTTCGGCGCGCCGCCGGGCAACGTCCACCCCTAGTCTGTCTGCCCCTGTCCGCTTCGCTGTGGCCGGGCCCGTGCAATTTGAATTTGCTGAATCTGCTGGACGCGCTGCTCCGCAGAAGCCTAACGATGGGCGAGCAGGCCTGAAATACGGAAGACACATGTGCCGCTGAGGCAAGCCACTCAGAGAAGCCCGTTCTCGTGCTCAGCCACTGTTCTCGACCACGCGCAAGAGGTATCCAGTTCCCCAGACCGCGGTCCACCACGAAGCGGCGCAAGGAGCTCTCCCACTATATCCAACATTTCTTGGGCGGCTTCGTAAGCCCGCCTGATCCGGACTGTCTGCAAGTGGCCGACCATTCGGCGTCCCGCCATGTGGTCACGCGCCACACCACTCTGGATATGCTCATTCGCGTAACATGCTATGCCGATGCCTACTGTCTCGCGGCACGCGTCCAGCCCCGCTGGCGGACACCGGCGCTTCGCGCTTCCGTCCAACCTCTGCGCGTCACTCTCTGGACCCATTGATGCTGCTGCTTTCCAAGCGCTCAATAGAAGCCACAAGTGCCACGGATCATCTAGCTGTGGGAAGACTGCGTGAATCTCAATTATTCCGCCCTTGACGTCCATGCGTGAGCTCCGCATAACACGCGGCTGCCCACCGATGAATCAAATAGGCGGCTTTCTTCTTTCTGGATAAGGCCTCGCTGATTAGAACGCGCATATTTGCCAATGGGTTCCGCCATGCGGCCACTCTTCGTTACATCTCCACGGGCCCGACATCTACCAGCGGGAACACCGTGCCCAAGACGTCAGACTATATCCCTCAAGCCCCATGTACAATGAGAACCTTTCGGTCCACTCCACGTTGCCGCGCGGGGTCCGACCCATATTATTTGTCTGCGCCTTGCACTTCGCGGGGTGAAGCTGCAAAACGCGCTCGTTGCGCGCGCCTCGAAGCATTCATTCGCTTGAGGGACACCCAGCTTCCTACAAGCAGCGTCGCGCCACATGTAAAAAAAAGCGCCACGCGCGTCAAAGCCTCCCCCACCCAGTCTGAC